ATAAAAAATATATTTAATATACAATTAGACTAATCCAATAAAATATTACTCCGACCACAAATACCCTTAAGTTCGGGCATTCCTCCTTTACGGAATAACTTGCCTTCTCCAAAATTTAAAAAAAAGATTAGAAAGGGAGAGAGAAAATTGTCTTAACACAGGGAGTGTACTTTTTTTTTTTTACGAGAGAAACATTAATTAAATATTAATATTTATTTATAAATCAATATGAGGGTCAAAACTGAATAAATTCCATCTATTATCCTTTGAATTAGCGTGGCCAATCCATAACCATACGGTGAGTTCAAGGGAGTGTAAATTTAATCAATGCATTTAAGCCGAATCAAAATATCACCTCACTTAGTCAACTACCTCTTGGCATGAACCTATGTCGTGCGTGCTCAATTTCCCCTGGTAAAGTACCTCTGGGCATCAAACCCATCTAGCTTCCGGAACAAATGGACACTTCAATGGTATTTTGTTCAAAACCTAATTTTGTAGCTCAGTAATTACGTGTAATGCTTCTTCGCTAGCTAGGCCTAGGCTGGTCCCTTCGCTAGATTTGTTGGTGGGGCCCACGTTTGAACGTTTAGCTAAATGAAACGTGATAGGTTCGAAACGCAAGGGCACCTCTACTGGGTTGGGTCTCTTAACACGTTGCAGACCCTCGAAAGGTCTCTTATTAGACACCGACTTTTCTACAAAAACTACTAGTTTTTAACTTATTATTATTATTTTTACGTCGTTGGTGGAGTTCACATGTCTCTTTTGTATATACTTTTTTTAAAAAACAACTATAATTTAGAGTAACGGATTAAAAATATTTTATTTATTTTTTATTTGAAGGCTTAATGTTTAAGTTGTTAAGATATTTAATTTATTTATAATTTTAATAATTTATAATTATTTATTTTAAATAGTTAATAAATATTTAAAAATACTTATTTATAAATTAATTTTAATTTATTAATAATAAATATTAATTATTTTATCAATTATTAACTATT